TCTGTTATATTATAATAATTATAATATTAATTTTTATTATTAAATATATAAAATCTTATAAAAGACTTTTACAGAACCCTTTTAATATTAAGAGACTGATAACTAAGTACTAGTAATAGAAATTAAAATTATATTATAATTATAATAGTACTGATTACTAAGTAATAATAATATTTAAATATATAGTACTAGTACTACTACTGTAGTACTGTAGTAATCTTAGATATATATCTATTATTTATTATAGTTAATTATTAATACTAGTATTATTTAATAGTAGTATCCCATTTACTACTCTCTTATTTATATGATTTATAATATATATATATCTATCTTAAATAGGTGTAAATATAATAAACTTTTAATAATCTTTATAATAATATTAATTTATAAATTACTAATATATATAATACCTATCTTTCTATAATTAATATCTTTAATATTAATATTTTTGGTTATTATAATAATTATATATATAAATCTCTGATAACAGAAATATATTTAAATTCTAGAAAATATTATTTATTAATAATATAACTCTAAATATTATTAAGCTTTTATTATAATTTATAAAATTTATAAAAATTATCTAGAACTTCTATTTCTAGCTATATTTTTTATAAATTAATTTTTATTTTTTTTTATCCTCTGTTATTTAGCTTAAATTATATTTTATTTTATTTAACTAATTTATATTAATTAATAATATTTATTATATCTTATTCTCAAAAGACTGGTTACCAGAGATTAAAATATAATATAAATTTTTTTTTTATTAAATATTTAAATAATATTTTTATGCAAGCAGAGTCTATTTAATTAAAATATATTAATATTAATTTTAATAATAATTAAACCAGTAGTAGTTAGTAATTTTAATATAAATAATTTCTATATTAATCCTGATACTTATACCAGATATATTATTAATATTAATTTAGATAGTAATATAAAGGTAAATATTAATAATAATAATAATAATAATACTAGTATAGATATTAACAGCAATACTAGTTCCAGCAGTAATATTAATAATAATACTAATATAGATATTAACAGTATTACCAGTTCTAATAATAATATTAATATAAATATTAACAGTATTGCTAGTTTTAATAATAATATTAATAATAATACTAGTATAGATAGTGATACTGATTTTATTAGAAATAATATATTTCTTTTTAATATAATTTATAAAAATATTTTTTTTTTTTTAATAATCTAGAAGGTCTTCTGACTATACTCTCTTAGAAAATTTCTTTTTATAAAAATAAGAATAACTAATAGAAGTTTTTTATAAAATATTCTAGATTTAGTATTAATTATTCTTAAGATTAATTTTCTAAATTTATTATTATATTTAGATTATAAATTTTTATTACTCTAATCTCCTAGAGTAATTATATAATATTATATAAGATATTAATCTTAGCTATATTACTTAAAAAATTCAGATTTATTTTTAGAAAATTAAATACTTTAAAGAGATATGTACAAGATCTTCTATTTATATTATTAATAAAAATATATTTTATTTTAGTTAATTTTAAGATCTAGAATTTAATTTTACTAGTTATAAAGAATTTTTTAGAATAAGAAATATTTATATAATATATTTATAGCCTGCTGTATTTTTTCTTTTTTATTTTATTATTTAATTTAAAATTATCTAAATTATATTTTAAAATAATAAAATATTCTGATTATTCTATTAAATTATAATATTATTATATATAAAACTTATTTTTTATTATTATATCCAGCTAGTATATCTTCTGTCTAAATTCTAGAGATATCTTTTTTTTAAATAATTTTATTTAATTTATTTTTTAGTTATAGCAGCACTTCAGTATATTATTTTAATATAATAAAATAATATTTATTAATAAAAATACTCAGTCTTATTTATATATATATAATTAAGTTATTTATATTATCTAGTTTATTCTTAAATTATATCAGTTTATTAAAATTTAAAATAAATATAAATATTTTTTTGAATTCACAGATTCTTATATTAATAATAAATATTAACTAGTAGAGAATACAGTATTTAAAAATTTTTTTATATTAATTAATAATTATATCAGTTTCCAGCTTGTTTATGTAGATTTTCTAATTATATTATTTAATAATATTATCTTTATTTATTATATTCTAATTCTCTATATTAGATAAATATAATTATATATTTTTATATACTTACTTTAAGCAGAATTTAAGCTTAAAATATTTAAATATAATTATTTTATATAATTATCTTATTAATTATAAGTAAAGTCTTTTTTTTTCTTTTTTTTATTAATAATTTTAAAGTCTATTATAATATATTTAGAATTTTAAAAAAAATTTATCTGATACCAGCTAGCCTGTTTTATTAAAAATAAAAATATCTAGCTAATTTTTTTATTATAATATTAAAACTTTATAATATCTTATTTCAGGATATTCTAGCTAATATTAATATTAATTTTAAAATTATTATAAAAGACTTTTATAATATTCTCTATAATAAATAAGTAATTATTATTATATTTATTATAATATTTACTGGAAATATATTACAGCAAGCTAAGAATAACAGTATATTTAATTATAATATTAATATAAAATATCAGACTTGCTATTATCTCTGAAAAAAAAAATTAATTTAAAATATAATATAATCTTTTACAGCTGGTATTATTTTTAATATTAATATTATTAAATTAAAAGTAATTATCAAGTAACTATTTTTAAATAATAAAAATATTTTAATATTAAAAAGATATAATTTATACTTTTATTAATTAAATAAATTATTCTAATTTTTAATATTATTCTGAGCTATTTATATAATATATTCTATTTTAATTAAAAAAGAATTAATTATTATTTTCTAAAATATATCTAGAAGATTTTTTTATTTTTTAATATTACTAATTTTAATACAGCTTTATAAAAAATAATTTAATTTATTTATTAATTTTAATTTTCTTTTTTAAAACATCTGAAGACCTGGACATTATTAAAATTTAATTAAAAAATTATTATTTTATTTATTATTTTTTAATATTATATAATTATAGTCTAGTTCCATGCAAGATTCTTATTATAAATTTAATTATTAATATTATCTTTTTTTTTTATTATAAATTTATTTTTACTTTTTTAATAGCTAATCTATACCTGTATAAAGATTATATTTATTATTATATTTATTTTAATTAGTTAAGTAATATCTTCTGATAATATATATATTTAAGTATTCTATAACTATTATATTTTCTAGTATTTAATAATTATTATTTCAGAACTGACTGATTCTTAGTTATATATCTTTAGAATTTATAGTATTTTATATAATCTAATCTTTTTTTTTAATAAATTTAATTTATTAATTTATTTATATATAATAAAAAAATTATTATATAATCTTGGTACAATAGCAAAGAATAATAAATAAATAAAATATTTTAAAATATTTGTTATTTATACTAGTTTTTATTTTTATATATTTATTATTAAATATAATTTATTTATAAATTATAATATTTTAGTAGGCAAGCTGAAGTATAGATAAATATTTATTTAAATATATATAATTAATTATTAATACTTCTTATAAAAATATTTAAAAAATAGATTAATTATATCTTATTATCTTAGCTTATAATTTATCTTTTTTAATTAAATTAATTTTATTATTTTATATGCCTAGGCCTCGCCGGTTTTTAATAAAATAATTATTTAATTTTATTTTAAATAATTTAGAAATTATATAAATTTTATTTATATCTTATCCAGAAATATATTTTTATAAATAAATTCAATACTAATATATAAGCTTTAATAATATATTTTATTAAATTTTATTATTACTTTCTTTCTGAGCAGGATATACTAAATATATTATTTTTTATTTATTAAAAAAAATATTTTATCTCAGTATCTATTCAGTATAATAAATTTAATTTATTTTATTATTATTATATTAAGTTCTATTCCCGGTGAATCTCTGGTTATTTTATAAGATTATTATAAAAATCTTTTATAATAATTTTTTATATTAATATTATATTAATTATTTTTTTATTTATAATTATTTATAGATAATCACTACTGGAAGCTTTATTAAATATAGATTTTTATTAATATATCTCAGCTGTAGTATAAAGTATTATTTTTAATTATAAATTTTTTTATTTTTTTTAATATAATATTAAAAATCTAATAATTTAAATTAAATAATAATATTCTCTTACTACTATTCTTCAGAGAGTTAGTTATTATTAAAATTATAAAATAAGATTAAACAGATATTTATAATAAATATATATAATAACTTTAAACAATTATTAACTAATAATAATAAACTGGATTTAATATATTATCTATAAAATATTAATTTCATATAATTATTATAATTTAATTTTTTATTATTTTTAATATAATTTTATATAATTTTTAAGATTCTTAATTATAAAAATATATTATTATATAAATAATATAATCAGTAGATCAAAAATATTTATAATTTATATATATTATTTAATTTTATAATATCTTTTCTGATTATGAATAACAGATATTATTAATATATAAAATATTAAATAAAGAATTATTTATTTTATTAATAAAATTTAATAAGTATTATTAAATAATATATAACTTTATAATAGTAGGATGTAATTATCTAGTTTAAATAAGATTTATTAATTTAAAATAAAATTTATCTAAAAATAACAGTAAATAACCTTTCTATAATATATAAATAACTGATTATTATTATATATAATTATTACTAAACTATATAATAATAGTAAATAAGAATGAGTAATTACAGGTAATAATAATAAATGATAGTAATATATTATTATTAAATATTATTAAATATACTATTATCCTCACTACGCGGCCCTTCGGGCCCCTATGTGTTGTCTCACCTTGAATAAATCTAGACGCGGGCACCCGTCAGTAACTGGTTATTATATATATATAAATGTAAATAGTAGTCGTCACTCACCATCTCTAGTCATACCCGGCTTACGCGCAATACCAGCTGTGACAACGATGACATCAGCGCCAGTAAGGGCTTTTTTCAGTCCATCATCAGCCGGAAGATAGCCAGTAACCTTGGCTTTGGTGTCGATGTGCATCAAGTCCGTAGCAATGCCCGGGACATGAACAATATCGTACAAGGCAATCTCATCAAATAAATCACTCTGAATAGTGTCAGCCAGCATATTCTGAATTATGTTCATTCCTATAAATTGTTTGTCGATCATACTGTTTTGCATAGAAGACTGAGGGGCGTGCCTATCTGGCCCGCGGCGCCAAGAAGTGCAATTTTCACCATATTGATGATTTGTATGGTTGTTGTATTTGGATCAAATTGGCAGATTTATTGAATCGATTTAATGACCGAGATCCTGCGTTAGCAATGGAGTAGACGATATCCTGTTCTTATTACTGGCGATTCTCCGGTAGTACACATCATGAAACATGCTGTAAGCTCGGTGGGTGAACGTTCACCCGCAAGGTCCAAGTATAGCCGGCGGACTAGGGGAACTCGACGCAGCATGTCTGGCTGATTGTTCTTCAGTTTCAACCCCATAGGATTAGATCATGATTCCTGAGCTTGGATTACAATGCGGGATAATTGAAATGTTCTGCCGGTATTGGGAAACCACGTCAGATTTGAGAAAATTATATTTTCCTCGGGTCTTCATGGTTTTCCAAAGCCTTTCACAAAGCTCCTCAGTAATGGCCTTCTTTCGCTACCCGGCTGCTGCTCCACCCGCAGTGTAATTGTTGTCAAAAGCCTGGAAAATGGGTTTTGCCATAAAAGTGCTCTGCTCGGGTCGGAGCCAGATTCAATCAATAACTCAGATCATGGCTTCGGGTCGCACTAGTCCACACCCATATGTCGTGAACTTGGTCCGCGCTGTCGCCAGGAAATCAAGGTCGTTAAGCCAGCCGTGGCTGCGTTTCCCGAATCCCAGAATCGAACTGTTCGCATATAATATAACCATCACGGCATGAGTTGCTTCAAGTATGAAAATGATAAGGAATTCAAGACAGCCTTAAATCCTTCAAAAACCTGGTTGGCCGTTCTGTCGAAGCCGCAAGAGGGGGGTACTAATATCTACAATACTACGTCCGCCGGGTCCAACAACTCTGGTTTCCAGCTCGTACAGGTTGTGGGAACGATCCATGGCTTTTCTTTCGGGTCTGCAGACAAGTAGATAGTATGGCCCTACTTGGGCATGCAAATTGCGAATGTCTTTCTTATCGTTTACTTCTCCCGTTCAATCAATGATCTTTGAAAAAGCTTGCAGTACGTAAAGGGGATTGATTGCCTGCGCAAGGTTTCCGAATCCGTCGTATCGCACCTAGCACGCACACACTCACGCGTTAACTACTTATGCTGTTTCAGGAGGGGTCAGCAAATAAGCAAGCCAATCGTGGTGTAAGAAGGCGAGATTACGATCTGCATCGGACTGTATTGGCGCTTATATTTTGGCACTAATGCACCACCAAGTCTAGCCGCAACGAACAATAGTATGATATTAAGCCCTGGATATGATTTCCCCGCTTCACTACACACGTACTCAACCGTCCGAGTGACTGATGACTAGGAGGATCATAATGAGCTCTATTATTGGTGGCTGAGAGCTGAGAAGGTAACTGCGCTGAGGTGAGGGGGGAAACAAAAAAAGGCAAAAGAGGATAGTATGCGGCGTAGCCATCCTATATGGGTGAAGCACATCTTGGATATGTGCTGTCATCCATTCGCCGATTTTCGTATCTAAATTTAGATGGCATGGACATGTAACTGTACTATGTTGCCGTCGAGATTCTACATTAGTGGCCTGCGTGGGCCTCTTATTTACCGCCGCGGTCGTTGCTGCTACTGCAAGGGATGGACGAATTAGTGCTGTTACTTCGGTAATTTCTACCTGGCGTGTCTGGAAGCTACAAGGCTAAGTCAGTTGTCACAATGTGCGTGGTCAGGACAGAACGATTCAGGTCTCGGAATCAGCGTACAAACCAAAGCCAAGCAGCCACTAAGGGCTTAGTTCCCCACCACTAGCGGGGTAGAGTTACTCTGTACGCGCTGGCAAGCATGGTGTGCCGACGGGACACTAGATTGGATAACGGGAAAGCCGCCCTTGGATCTTGAAACATGCATGGGATGTCGCCCAATGCCAACCACGATCGATGACCTGTGGCGGGTAGGCGACTTATGCTATTGGTTTTCCAAGTATGCGCGCAGAGACCTTGGTTATCTTTTCTATGGATTGTAACACACTTCATGAGTCTTCCACGTCAAACCGTGGAATTCCCGACCGGTAGTCTGTTCTTCATGAGAAGATGCCGAAATTTCTTCAATCTCGGAGATGCATTAGGCGCGTCTTCTCCTGTACACTTGACATTTGCGCCAGCACGCAAAAGTATATGAAGAAGAAACGGATTAGTACGTTCCCTCTTTCTATGTCATTTCGTACATAAGCTTATGCGAAACAGGGAAATGGTTCGATGGTCTGCTAAGGAGGGATAATGGCGAACAGGCTGCAGCAAGCGAAGAAAAAGAGGCGACCCTCAACGAGAGGAGCCTAGCCACTGGACTGTCGACTTTGCAGAGTGTCGATGCGATTAAGACAGCTGTCGAAAGCATAAACGGCAATTTAGAGCGCTTAATCGCCAGAGCTGGATGCATTGACGAAAGAACCGCAGCAATCCGGTCGATTACAGATACCATTCAAGAGAAGACTCAAGAAATCCCATCCAAACAGGACGACCTGATGGACATGCAGAGGGAGATGATTGGTATGCAACGAGTAATCATGGACCAATTGTCCGAGCAGGCCAAGTTATTCAGCCAAGCACTGAGATTTTTGGAGCCACTTCAGATTGGAAATAATTTTGGCAAGGAAGCCCGGACGAGTCTACTGAAACTTGACGTGGTTAAGTTGCGCCTAACTCGGTGGGGGAGGTTTGTGGGATTGACTGATCTGAACGATGTGGGGTCTGCTCACGAAATAAATCTCGCTCGTGAAGACATTCCAGAAATGCAAGATCTCCTCGGTGAAATACTGGAGCTGATCAGGGAAGCGGATAAGCTTTCGGGCTGCTTCAGGAATAAGAATCCCGCATCTCCGAATATGGATCCCAGTCAGGAGCTGGCCAGAACCTCTGAATCGTCTCATCAGCAAGTCAATGATATCATTGGGGGGCAGGAGGGTGAATTTATTGTCAACCAGAATGAGGCCCTGGCCATTTACGAGATGAAGGATTTCTCGCGGTTAATCCAAGACATAGGTGGTCTGGTCAACGATTTGACTGAATTATTCCCAGCGGAAAATAAGCAGTGCGGGATCTATAAGAATGAAGCTTCACGGATGGACAAGGTCAAGATTGGTCTGTCACTCCTTAAAGAGACTTATGCTAGCCAGGATGGTCTTTCGAGTGAAACAGTTGTCAAGGCCAATCAGCCTACGATTACCTACAATAACTGTGTTATCTTCACAGGGGAGAACTTTGGAATCCAGATGGGACATAACGCTGGCACAATTGACAACGTGCGATTCGACCAGCAGAGTCGGTCGTGACGATGCAATGATCGAGTGATGTATGTCTGAATCATGATTTATATGTGTCTGCATGATGCAAGCATTTTCAGAAGAATTACTCTATATATTCTGGTAGATGATTAGATCACCTTTGGACAGCCGCTAATGCAAACAACTCAATGCACAATTGTATTCTTTCGAATGTAAACACAAACACAAAGTTACGTCTGACAGACAAATCAAGTTATCCACAGTTCTAAGCCTTCCCATTCACCAACCCCCAATGCTCCGGAACCGGGGACAACAACACCTCACCCACAATCGCCCGTCTCGCATTCTCCATCGCCCACTCCTCCATCTTCGCCAACGTTTCATACGTATGTGTCCCAATATGCGGCACCAAAAGCGCACGTTCATTCTTCACGAGTCTTTCATTGATCTCCGGCTCCCTCTCATACACATCCAAGCCAACAGCACCAATATGCCCACTCTCCAGGGCATCAGCCATAGCAGCCTCATCAACAATAGCACCACGAGCCGTATTGATAATCACAACGCCGCGCTTCATCTTCGCGATCTCCGCTTCACCAATAAAATGCTTCGTATCCGCATTCAACGGTACGTTGATACTGATAATATCACTCTCAGTAAGCAACTTCTCAAACGAGACGTACTCGGCCCCGGCAGACAGGTCAGCAGACAAAGGTCGACGGTTATGATAGACGGTCTTGATGCCAAAGGGCTCGCAGCGCTGTTTGATAGCGCGGCCAATTCGGCCCATGCCGAGGATACCTAGCGTCTTTCCTTGAGGGTCGTGGCCGAAACCTACGCCTTGTTTGAAGGTCCCGGCGTGAAGGGAGCGAAGTGCCGGGTTAAGATTTCGCAGAGCTCCCAGGAGTAGGAGGATAGCTAGGTCAGCGGTTGCATCTGTAACTGGGTCCGGGGCGTTGGTGACGATGATGCCTCGTTTGGCGCAGGCTTCGGTGTCGATGGGGTCGTAGCCTGTAGTCATTTGTCAGTGGGGTTTTTCTAGGATGTTACATGACTCGCGTACCTGCTCCATTGTGGAAGATGTATTTGCAGCTTGATGGGAGGCGGTTGATTAGCTCGGCATCGAACTTGCCGGCTACCTTTAGTAGCATATTAGTTTACTGAGACCAGAAGTCTGTACAATGGGTGAGGGTAGTACTTACAGCACCGCTAGCGGATGTCCGATAAATGGCAAAGATGTCTTTATATTTTTCTGTGACATCTTTGAAGAACTCCTCCCGACTTTTACTTGTCACCACCTCTGTGTGAGCATGCTCCTGGAGCTTCACATAGAACGGCACTGCGTGCCTCACGGGATTGAAGAAGAGAATGCGGGGCTTAGCCGACGACATGGTTCTGATGGTGCTGCGAGGGAAAAGAGTCCACGCTGCTTTCTGTCCGAGCCTCATGTTTTATGGCTTTGTTGGCGATCAACGTATTACGTTTATCTATCTTTAATTTGATCTTTGAAGGAAAGATTAACCATGGCGGTTGTCTGTCCCGAGCAGGGCATTTGCCGTCGGAGTAGGTTACGGCTAAACTTCCTCCACCCATGGTTCAGATTTCGGTGCCATGGCAAATCGTTTAGGCTCATCCTCACAACATTCGATGCTCATGTTATGTGCTATGTATTACTTTGTACATTCTGAATGCATGTTTATGGAGCAATCTGGGGTAATTTTGCGGGGTATAGCCAAGTTTCTGAGCTTCGTAGCGTCTGATTCCGCATGATGCTTGACAGTACGTGTCTTTGTTGAATGTTATGGGAGTGTGTAAGATACTATACGCTGTGTTATTTAAGAACTGCTTTTAGATCCTTTTATTTTACTGTTCTCTTCTATCGAGAGACTCGCTGGATCTCATAATCAGAGGCTATTCGTTCATGTGCACAGTCTCATCAAAGTATATATTGCACCCATCTTGTCTACCACCACTTCCTCGTCAATATGACTTTCGCAAGTCTCACCGGCTCATCGTTAGCTAGAGCCCGTATATGTCTTATAGTTGCCCCTGCATTTCTCCTATACGGCTACAATCAATCCAATATAGGTGGAGTGCTCGATTACCCATCATTCATCAAGTATTTTCCACCGATAGATACGAGTAACACCACTGGTTCCATCAAGAACCACAATGCAACCATCCAGGGCATGTTCACACATCCATCCTCCCAACAATGTTCCTAACCATCTATTTCATAGGAACCGTCGTCGCCATATACACGATCGGATGCCTCATCGGCGCCCTCTCGATCACCCAGCTTGGGAACCGCATCGGACGACGCAAATCCCTCATGATCGTTGCTGCAGTAGCTACCATCGGTCTAGTCATACAGGCTACGTCCTACCATATAGCTCAACTTGTCGTGGAACGTATAGTTTCCGGGATCGGGATTGGTGGTGTGAACGCTGTCGTCCCAGTTTGGCAGAGCGAGTGCACAAAGCCCAAGAGTCGAGGGAAGAATGTCGTTGTTATCGGCGTTTTCATTGCCTCAGGAGTTGCCATGGCTAGCTGGGTGAACGTGGGGCTCTCGTTTGTAGAAGAGAGTGAGGTATCCTGGCGCCTCCCTCTGGCACTACCAATCGTCTTCACCCTGCTGCTCCTGGCATTTACCCTGTCCTTCCCTGAATCACCCCGCTGGCTCATCAGCAAAGGCCGCAAGGCAGAAGCCCGCGCCGCCATGCACGCACTAGCCGACAAGCACATAGTTAGCTACGAAGCGATTGACGCCGAAATCGAAACCATCTCTCTCGCTCTCCGAGAATCATCTACATCAGAATACGGTTTCGTCAACTTCTTCAATCGGGGACCTCAACGCCTGTTCTACCGTCTCTTCCTCGCCGTTGCCGTCAACTTCAGCGCTCAAATGACTGGTGCCAACGTGATAACCTACTACGGAAAAACCATCTTCCAAGAATCCCTTGGCCTCGAAGCAGAGAAAGCAGCTATCCTGAGCGCCGGCGTCTTAACATGGAAAATCTTCGCTGCTCTCTCGGCCTACCTCTCCGTTGACCGCTTCGGCCGCAAACCACTCTTCATCATGTCCGCGTTGGGGATGGGTACATCCATGGCCGGACTCACTGGAACAGTCTGGGCAATTGATAACCGGTACACGTACGGTGCTAGTATCGCAGCGACATTTTTTCTCTTCTTCTACATGTCTTTCTTCCCGCTTGGGTTCCTGGCTGCTAATTTCTTGTATGCGGCGGAGATCGCACCCCAAGAGCTGAGGATTCATTTGGCGGCGATTGGAACGGCGACCCATTGGTTGTTTAATTTTGTCATTGCAGAGATTACGCCCATTGCGTTTGCAACGATCAGGTGGAGGTATTATATTGTGTATGCGGTGATTGGGTTTAGTGTTGCTCTTATGGTTTATTTTGTCTTTCCGGAGACGAAGGGTCGATCGCTGGAGGAGATGGATCGGTTATTTGGTGATCCGGAACATTGGTGGAAGGTTACTATATATTCGAGGGAGATGATGGGAATTGATATGGTGGAGGTGGATGGGGATGATGTGAAGATGGACGCGAGTCATATTGAGAAGGCTTAGTTGATATGAAGGAAGGAAACGGTTAAGCAATGAGCCGCAATCAAACACGCGTCTGTCTGGAATGGGACTAGTTCACGTTGCACCAACACGTGCTGGCCACTAGCCCGAATGAGGCAATGCCTATGCTTGTAGCCGCTAACGGGAATTTGCTGCCTCAAGGATAAGGCTACTCGGGTTTTAAGCCGTCTTAAAAGCCGACAGGAATCAGGTATAAGAGTCTGCACTTCAGAAGGGTTCCCTTCGTTCTTTTCGTCTAGTAAAATATCAATCCCATTCTAATAGAATCAGACACTTCTCAATAATTTGCTGTCCTCACTGAAATCAATTGCTGCAAGATGGCAGCCAAAGAAGGAGGTATGTCTCCCTTCCGTGATGCGGACCCATCCATCTCCACGCCAGCCCTATGGAACATCAACACCAGCCAAGACCCTAACTAACCATCACTCAACCATCCACAGAATCAGTCCCGTCGGAGGCCGCTCCATCCCAAGTATCCCTCAACGACACAAGACGACTCTTCCCAGACCAAGATGCCCACCTAGTTAGTCTGCTCCCCATACCATATCATCCACATACTAACAGTGATATACTACTATAGGTGACATGGGCCATGGACGACCGCGAAAACCCCAAGAACTGGAGCATGAGCAAGAAATGGGCCGTAACCATCACCGTATCGCTCTTCACCTTCATCTCTCCCGTCTCCTCTTCCATGATCTCCCCGGCCTTGACCAAAATCGCGAAAGAACTCAACATCACCTCAGAGGTGGAATCCGAATTAAGTCTTTCCGTCTTTGTTCTCGCCTACGCTGTCGGCCCGCTATGCTTCGGCCCGCTATCCGAACTCTTCGGTCGGGCCTACGTCCTACAATGCAGTAACCTATGCTACGTGGCCTGGAACCTGGGATGCGGGTTTGCGCAGACTTCGGGGCAGTTGATCGCGTTTCGCTTCATGAGTGGCATTGCGGGAAGTGCGCCGTTGGCTATCGGCGGAGGTGTTCTCAGGTATGCCCTTCCACTTCCTTTCTTTATACCAATCCCCTTCTTTAATCAGACAACTAAAATTATGAAAGTGACTGCTGGAATGCCGACCAACGCGGCAAAGCCGTCGGCATCTACAGCCTTGCCCCCCTCCTCGGCCCCGTCGTGGGCCCCATCGCGGGCGGCTTCATCGCTGAAACAACTACCTGGAGGTGGGTCTTCTGGGCCACGAGTATCGCGGGCGCTGTGATCCAACTCATCGGGCTGGCCTTCCTGCCCGAGACATACGCGCCGACGCTGCTAAAGCGACGCGCCCGAACCCTACGCCAGAAGACCGGTGACGAAGCATACCACACTGAGGCGGACACCCAGAACACAAGTCTGATATCGACGTTGCAACGCGCCCTCGTTAGACCATTCATTCTGCTTACCACACAGCCTATCGTGCAGGTCATTGCGCTGTACATGGCGTACC